CATGTGGCATTTACCGTTTTGTAGAGTTCCAGCAGCTGAGATGGCTCAACACCGCTCTTCTCTGAAGAGTAACGTATTAGGGGTGTGGCACTCACGCTCCTCGCCACTTGTATTGACCTGCAACATGACTGAGAGAGGATTCGAACATATGGATTGCCATGCCACATCCAAAGCCAACGCATGTTTAGCAGAATCAATCGTTTGAATCATATGAAGGTTAGGAACACCTCGAGTAAGTCAGTGTCATTAAGGATCGTACTTGCAAGCTGCCGTATTTTGTTGGACTGAATACGCCCAATGAAGTGCCACTTGATTTCCGGGCACAAGGATGTGATCTACCGTAACTAACAAGTTGTGCTCGCATATACCTTAACCGACGTGCTCTTCTCTAACAGACTCTGTACCTGCAAATATGTATATGACAGGGACGTAATTACTTTATTCTCTCCGAAATGGCGTTGTCCACAGGAATAAGCCTCAACAATACATTCCACTGGTTTTTCCTTTGAAACAGCAACCAGCAGAGGGGGCCTTTGTCCAGGACGCACAACCTACATGGTTGCCTTCAGTTTATTTAAGATCTACCAGAGCGAATGCCTCATCAATGCGCCTGGCAACGTCTGCTAAGTTTTTTGAAATCATTACTTGGCATGTTATTGTTAGCGGAAAAGGTAACCCGGATTCGAAAAAGAACACCACCAACCTCAGCAGCGGTGGTGTGAGACCCTGAATGACTGAAGGTCAGTTTAATGTAGTTAAGGGTTTATGAATACCGAGCCAGTAGGAGAGTTGGGTCTTCCTTTGGAGGTCGTTAGACTCACTAAATACAGAATGTAGAGTTGGAAACAATTGGGCTGGTCCCGCTTTGAGCATGACGTAGCAACTGAGTGTCCTGTAGTCTCAAGCGTCTCCAGCGCCGGTTTAAGTGACTTCATTGAGTTTGCGCGCAAGGAACAGACCTGTGGCGTTTACAAGCTGCTGTTTTCCCTGCTCATTATCATCCCCCTATCAGTACTTTTAACATAATTGTTCGTTTGTTTCAATGAAGTATGCACGCGAAACCCTGCTCCTTCGGCTCCATATGCTTTTGCGTTCTTTCTACTTCTCTGGTACCACAGAACTCCCATCGCTTTTGCACGCACTCACTTAGTCTAGTATCACACTGGTTCAGTCATTTCTAGGGAGCAGAAACTCATGGGTGACTTGCGTGATAATTAGATTTGCGTCAAACTCCTAACTTTTGGCGCTAATAACCCTAGAGTTAGGTTCACACCATCAGAATGCTTTTCTTCGTATGGCCTCACAACAGACTATATTATCATGCGTGGTTTCTAAGCTTCCTAGTAAGGTTGCCGCGGCGATCAGCGACGCCGTTGATCGCATACAAGTGTTGAATCTATACAAAACACTCAAGGCGGCAAAAATTAAACGGACAGCATTCACTGATAAAGTCAATTTCCAGAAGTTGCTTTCAGGATTCGAACTGGGCGATGGCACGCCATCAAGCTTTCTGCGACACATACAAATTCTGGTTTCCGGCAAGCCGTCAAACGATTAGAATTTAAAGCGACTGTGTTTGCGATGTCCTCCTTTGATTGCACGTTATATAATAGCCGCTCATTCTAAGGTCCTGCTTCTATCATTCGCCGAGACAGCAGACGAAACTCATGAACACTTTTGACTGCTTCGACCTCACAAGAATACAGCCAATCCAAAGATATCCTAGTTCTAGTACATCTCAGTCGAATGGAAACGCGAATAAACTAACCCGTAGCCACTGTTAACAGGGTGGTTACCACATTGAAACAGGCTACGGTATCACATAGGTCCTGAGCTTTTGCCCGTAGACCTCGTTCTCAATCAGCAGATCATAGATACTTGTGCCTTTACCATATTATGTTCAAGGACAAGGCCTTATGTTGTACACCTTCGTGTGTCTCCTCTCAACCAGGAACGTCAATACTGCCACGTCATTATTCGTGGCAGCTGCCTCTGGCCCATCACCTAGTCACATATACTGCGTTGCGAATCGGGTAATCGGAATGCGATTTCCCATCGGCACCGGTAGCAACTTGGCGTTACTCCTGATGGACCCTTTAAAAGCCTCCCTTCTGATCCGCTGAAGGTACTCATCCTTAGACTCGCATCCCAAACATTCCCGAAACCGTAGTTTCAGAGGAGGAACCCTCTACATTAAGTTTCATCACTTGGAGGGATATTTTTGAACCCTTTAAATCCCTCAGATAGTTACATTTTGTGTGAAACTTGTTTAAGCGTGCTCATGGTCTACGTTGAGCGTGTGATTCTTGCCACCACGGCGCGGCATGTCTTTGTGTAGACAGTGGGGTCACTTTGTAAGAAGGATGGCTCCTCAACATTTTCTGCTAGATTGGCTTTGGAGATTTACTGAAGACCGCGTAAACAATACTTGTGCCCCCCTTGTCCTAGAAATCTCAAGTTAGGCAGCCAATTGCTAGCCGTATGAGAAAAGGCCTGCTATCGTTGCAGCAGGCTTCCTGTCGACAAGGCCAAGGAATTCATCGCTTCCAGTAAGATCGTCTTTTGTGATCAGTAAACGCCGTACTGTGTGCATGGTGAGGTCTCATTTTCACCGGCGTACTGAGACTCCGATGGTCCCAAAGATTGAAATGGTGGGCTTGTAGACAGAAAGAGCGGTCGCTACCATAGGGTTGTCAGCGTTTTGGAGTCTCGACACATTTAATAGATGGGACGGTCTTATGGACGCACACAACATGATCGAATGTGAAGTGGCGGGGACAGAGTGAACCACGGGTGGGCCATCAGGCTGGGTACGGCAATTGAGGTACGGTCATTGCGACGTCATTCTTGGGTCAGTGGACAGCACTGTGCATGAACATCCTGGGTTAGTCATTTTGGGTTACCATGGTTGATAGCATTGGCCAAGGAAGACCAGCTTTGATTGAGAGCATTCTAAATTCAATCAGGGCGCGGCGGGGATCGACCTTGCAACTAAAACGAGGCGAAACGCGGCTCTGTCCACATTGGGGTCTTAAAGTTGGAAAGTGTCAAAGAAGCCTCATAGAAGGAATTATATTATGAGTAAGAACGTGACCCAAATTAGCAGACTGCCAACACTGGTCAGAGTATATAACTAATACAGTGAGGTGACACCGACCGATTTCAGAAACGGCAATCGATTTTCGGGTAATGATATTTGGCATGCGGTTGATGTGAACGGGTGTGGGCATAGACGAACACGGGGCACGTGCATTAGCTCAACTGTGAGCAACTCATTTATTTCGGAACATGCATTGACAGCGAATTGCAGAGGAACTGAAATACCTGGTAGTGCTGCGTGTCTGAACCGCGGAACGACTCAGTCACATCCTAAGCAAAAGCATAGAGGTTTTGGAAAACGACTTGTGTCGTAGGCGTCATACAGCCTATACTAACTGAGTTGCTTTGAGAATGATGTTTTGGATTCACAGGAAGTTGGCCCGGTATACGCGCCACCACCAGGGCAAGCTTAAGACAGTGACGTTGGCGCTCGACGAAAGTGGTTTCCGTTTTAGGTTTCTCTGCCCTTCATTGCCAAATTCAGAATTTGAGGCTCAGCATCTGGTGGAGACTGGGTTTGGCGTCAGGGCATGCAGTTTAAGTGAGGGTTATCATCTGTGAACCCTTTCAGTTCACCGCGGTGAGGTGTCGAATAAGAGACGCAGTACGAAGGGAAACGGTGGAAGTTCTGGGCTGAGTGGTAACCAGAGAAGTCTTTCAGGTAGGACAAATGCAGAAGGCGTGGACAGCGCATTTAGGGGACATAGTAAGAAGACTCAAGGTCGTTCGACGATCCGTGTGACATGGATGTGATCTGATGGATAGTTGTCCCTGGGCAATAAGACATCGCAAATTTTTGGTGCCGGGTTGCACCACGTAGCTGGCGATGCCATAGACAACAAACGGTAAAAACTGACCTTTCGTCTGTCCAAAGCAATTCATCAAAAACATCGGCTAACCTGAAACTACTCGACGATTCCCATGG